GCTGAGGCCGAAAATTCACAGCACCAACAACAGAAAGAAGAGGGTGAGGGAGCCACAAACTCAGGCCAACGAGAAACTCTGCTGGAGGAAGCTTCTCAAACAGCAGCTGAGGGAGATAATCAGTGTAACCAGAAGCTGAAAACATCTAATGGAGACACTCCTACACATGAAGACTTGACCAGGAATAAGGAGCGGACATCAGAAAGCAGGGGTCTGTCACGACTGTTCTCCTCATTTCTCAAAAGGCCCAAATCTCAGGTGTCTGAGGAAGAAGGCAAAGAAATAGAGTCAGATAAAGAAAAAGGTGAAGGAGGTCAGAAAGAGATAGAATTTGGAACCAGTCTTGATGAAGAGATCATTTTAAAGGCCCCAATTGCAGCTCCAGAACCTGAACTCAAAACAGACCCATCTTTGGATCTTCATTCATTAAGCAGTGCAGAAACACAGGTAAGGAGTTTGAATATGGGAGGTGGGTATAATGTAGGCAGGTTATACGCTTTATTTTTCATTTAAGCACATTTGGTTTTATTTCTTACTAGCCATTGATCATAAGTTAGCCATTGATCATAATAAGTAACATGGAGCTTTGTAGTTTCTGCTCTGAAGAAATTAATATAGTCATTGGAAATCTGATTTTTAAAAAGATATTTACACTTTATAAATTAAAAAAAACCCCACAAAAGTATCATGTGAGTTTATTCAGCCCATATATCATTGTGCTGTAATAATGGAACAAATTCAAGATTTTCATGAGAAGGGAGAAAAGAAGTGATGGTGTAGAGTTGATTTTGGTGAAATTACAGGATGGGATAGTTATCAGCAAATGTGGTCCTTTTATGGAGATTTTAGAAAAGCTATATGATGAATTCAAGCCATCAGAGGCACGTGATAGATTCGAGCCATGCCTGTCTTATTTCGTTCATCACTTTAACTGTATCATATTGTCACAAAATGTAAGAGACAGATGAGGAAGTCTAGCTCTTTCTATATCACCTGTGTAATATATATTAGTCAGGGACCTTAATTGTGTCACAGTATACTTAAACTAAATATGAATTGTGAGTCTGTTTATTTGTCCAAAAAATGTGGGAAACTGTTTGTACTGTAACTCAAACTATTTTCTAGCAATCTCATTTATTTTAAGCCTTACTGTCTATAAATTGAATTATTTTCAGAGTCTTCTTATTTCTGAAGCATGTGAACGTTATCTACATTGTTAAAAGTATAAGTCCTATATGTTTCTATTATAGGTCTAAGGTTTAGGCTATACAGTTTTATTAAAACTTTCTAAAAATATTATATGTATTTCTATAAATACTACTTATATATTCAGAGTGCTCAGTAAAATTTAGGATAAAATTATAATTATGTACTTGCTATTAGTGAAACAAGGTTTAAAACAGATTTACCATATAGTTTAATAGTTAAGAATGCAAGCTATAGAATCAGATTAGAGAATTCAAATCACAGAGAAGTGACACTTTTCACATTATTAATTTCTTCCTCTCCACAATGGGGATAATAATATCTACCTCATTTGGTTATTGTGAGGATTACAAGAGAGAAACATGTAACCCTCTTAGACATGGCCTGACATTTAATAAGCACTCAATAAATGTTAGCTATAATATTATTACTCAGTAAATAAACACAAATGGTAAAGACAAAGAAACTCTGTATATCTTAATATCATTAATTTAATTTTATCTTAGGCATACCAAAGGAGGTAAATTACATTATCTTTCAGGAAGCCTTCTACTTTGAAGAGGTTTTTAACTGCTTTTTCCCCCTTCTGCTTTATGTAGGGAAAAATCCATATCTTGTTTTAGTTAGCATTTGAATCAGAACTTGCCTCTTTTGTCTAAAGATCATGATTTGTACTCAAGTTGAAGCAGATGAAAGACAAAATTAATTTTAGATTTAACTAAAATCTCATTTATTAAGACAATTTAGAATTGAAATAAATTGTATGCAGGTGTTTAGCTATGAAAAAAAGAAACAATAAATTAAGATTAATAAAATTTCAAGGGAATATTGTTTAAAGGAGCAAACTATTTTAGGCATTTTGTAAGCTAACATTTACAATCAAAACCTTTTGGGTGAGAACCTTGTGGATAAAGGTTTAACATGAGTTTGCATTATAAGATTGCACCAGTCTTCATCCATGGTACCTTGGATTTTTTGGAAGCCATATATCAGTTTTTAATGCTTGTTTATTAATTCATTCAACAAATATTTATTGAAAACCTACCATATATGCCAAGCCCTAGGTTGTATATACCTTGGTAAACAAAAATTACAAAATGGTGAAAAGGTTTAAGATCGTAGATTGTGAAACCACACTGATAGATGACTTAGTAATCCTAAGCATGTTCTTCTCCGGCTTCAGTTTCGCATCTGTCAAGTGGAAATAATAATAGTACCTGCCCCATGGAGTTGTTAGGAGGATTAAGTGAGTTCATATAAGTAATGCTCTTAGAATAGTAACTGGCCCATTGTAATTGTTCTATAAATGTTTACAATTATTATTATTAATAGAACAGACATGGTTCCTACCCTTGTGGACATTACAGTGTAATGGAAGAGACAAAAAAGTACAAATACAAAATATTTGTATTTGTATTTTATGTAAATACAAAATATTTACTGTAATAAGTGTTATGAATGTAACAAACAGGGTACTGATGTGAAAAATAGTAGAGTGGGCACAGGATGGATAGGATAGCTGATTGAAGCCTCTCTGCGGTTGCATGTGAGAGAGTTGGGAAGGATGGGAAGGAGACTTTTAGACCACCTCTAGTTATTTAATGCAGGAGCTAAATAATTAAATCCTTTTTCCTAATTATCAACCAGGTATTCTTTTGAAAGAAAAGAATTAGTAGGGGCTGGGCGCGGTGGCTCACGCCTGTAATCCTAGCTCTCTGGGAGGCC